AAAAAGAGAGAAGCTCTCTGGTAAATGTTGTGTGTTTTATACACACACCTCTGATGACCGAGAACAGTGCAGCCTTTTCAAATGCCTCTTTCTGCAGCGGACCACCCACTGCTGTAACTAAAAAGTAGCCCAGTACACACATTAACCTCAAATGTACATGGAATAATAAATTAACCCCCTACCATTTTATTTCATTGTTTTCTGTTTGTACTGTTTAGGGTTTTAAGGGATTTTAATACTGCTGCAAACTTTTTATAATTGATTATTTTATATTGCCATTTTAAATTATTTGTATCAGCTGTTTGTTCTGTTGTTTGCTCTTTCGCCTCTTCTTGGCTATTTTAAATACATACAAATGATAAAACTTTATTAAATTGTGCAATTAATCCTCTGAACACATGCGTGCTGAACCGTGCGCCTAGTCACAGATCACTATCAGATCTGCTGCCTTCACTAAAATATAACGGTTCCTAAACATGATAACAAATAATATAGATAAATAATGAACACATGTCAAAACGAAAACACAGATACTTACAAGACCAAGTAGGAATGTCCTTTATCGTTTGTTGTTTGTCCGCTGCTCTCCAAAAAGTAAACTTAGTGCCGTCTCGTGTAAAAAAAATTAAAAACACAACACTGATCTCTAACGTTGCCAGTAGTTTGCTTACATGATGGAATATCATATACATCTCACAAGTTATTTTGCCAAAAAACGACATGAAACCAAATTCAAGGTTATTTGGGCTAGAAGTGGGTTACACATAGCCAGACTATATCGGGTCTATACTTAACCGAGACGTTGAAATGACGGCTATTGCTTGCTGGGTATTTTCACAAATATATATATGACTCGGCCTGGAGGACAGACTTAAGTAATCGCATGCGCTCAGTCAATCTCTCTCTCATTCACTGTCTGTTTAGGCTTGTTAAGTGAAAATCTACGGAGCCTCTGTACAAATCAGCATGGTACACATTATGTTATCGTTACTAACTTGTTTAATATTCAGTCCACATGCATGAAGTGTAAAACGAGAAGGGCACAACCTTACGAAAAAAGAAAACACGCAAAAATCGCGGTTGCTGCGGTTCTTGCATTCCTTGCTCGTCAATAGCGTGGTATTGCGGTTATCGCGACAGCCCTATCGACAAGTACCAAAAATAAAAGTATCGGTATCAGGCGAGTACTGGAAAAAGTGGTATCAGTGCATCCCTGTCTTAAACCTACAACATGTATACATTTATTTAACATCTTTTGTTGTTTGATTAACATTAATGAGACAGACAGGTATTTAATTAGGCTGCTGTCCCTTTAAGACCGAATGAATGTAATACTGACACATTATATACATAATATACTGACACATATATCCGGTTTTCACCCACCTGTTTACATTCACTTAAGCCATAACTGACTGTATTTACGTGAGATACTCAAGTCCTCATGATGGAGATTTTGACAGCTGTGTGTGTATTTGACAATAAATGCGCAAGGAGAACTGATCGCAGAACTGGGATCGCACGGGCGCGCGGCCGAGAGAGCGCTTCTGTGTCATTCAGCGTGATTCCGCCTACCTATCCCACCTTTACTTACGGCAATCGATAACAAATTGTGATTGGATGGTAATTTTGTCCTACGAAAAGCTTGGTTACCTTTGATTAGGCTGTTCTCGCGTGACAGAACACTTCTACTACTTGCTCTGATCAACCAGTCGTAAAGAAATTTGGAAATACGGGACAAAACATGATTTTTTTCTAAATAAGTCGGGACTGTCCCGGGAAAAACGGGACGTCTGGTCAGGTCACCCTAAGCATAGCTCACATTCACTAAAATACTGAAACGCTAATGATGCTGATCCAAAACGACAACGCCGGTGATTGACAGTCAAAGCAAAGCGCGGTTTGAAAGGCCACCCCCGCAGCTGAACTGGAAATTTTGATTGGTTATGCACCCGAGTCAGACCTGTCTGTTATTGGCTGAAGCGCAGGGCTCCGCCCCAGGAGTTTGAATAGTTCCCGTCAAACGCAGGTGTTCTGACGATTTGTGCTACCCGCTCAGATTGTGCTATCACCCATTAAAAAGATAGGTAGCACAAATCGATAGCGAAAAATGCTACCTACCAGATTGTGCTACCAGCATCTTATTCATGTGGTTTGAGGCTTTTTTTTTAATATCCGTACCTACTCCTATGCCCTAAACCTACCCGTCCACACCTACCCTTACCCTAAACTTACCCTTAAAACAATGCAAATATATTTTTGGTAGCACAGTCTGATAGGTAGCATACGGTACACCTGCTCACTCTCCATCTCCATTGGCGCCTTCTTTGCCCATTTTTTTTTTGTACTTTGTACTTTTGGTGAAAAATATATGTAGCTGAATACTTTAGTTTTATTCTACTGAAGTAAAAGTACCACAATTTAATTATACACAAGAAAGTAGAAAAAATTTAAAACGAAAGTATTTGTACTTTCCACCTCTGGTAATTAGTAATTCCTTCTGAAGAAATTGGTAATAATTGAGTCACTAGTGCTTTACCATGACCTTCACTTTAGAATTAATGATACAATATGCATTATTCATATTAAATTTGAACCTGTATACAGTAGTTCTTAGTTCTTCTTGGGGAGGTATGGAAAAAATAGTAGATCCTGATTAACTAATAGTGAACTACCACATTAGATTAAGCACTATTATTTACTAATTAATTATTTAGAATTTCTTGTTAGTTACTAGTGTTTACTAGAGTGCTTAGCTCACATGTGTTCTTGTGTAGTTATTCATTAATGACGGAACAGTATTCTAAAGTGTTACCCAATCTACTATATGGGAACCTTCATGAAGGGTTATCAACTGCCATTATGTTTATTGATTATTTTAGATTGTGAACTGTGAAGGACTTTGGGCAACTTTTGTTCTATTAAATGGTGCTACATAAATAAATTAATTAAAATGAACTCTGGACATCAAGAGACAAACAGAGGCTGTTGTATGTTTATTGTTGATCCATAAAACATAGTGAAAAAGGTAACACAAGTAGTATCTCCTTTTGGAAAATAACCTGCAAACTGCCAAACCACCAGTCGGTACTATTCTCTTTAAAATGAGCAGAAGAACTTTGTGCAAACTGTTTAATGGCATAATAAACAAACAAAACACCTCACAGATGTCACAACAGAACAAGTCTGATTACATTTTACAGTACAGACATCTTTTAAATTTGGTTACATATAGCACATCAAACATTACAGGTTGATGTTTATTTATATAGTATTTTTTACAAAATTCATAAAAAAAATTGCTCATGCGTATAAGTCACTGTCATTAAGGAGGAGAATGTAAAAAAAAATCACTTAAGGATTAGCAATGAAAGAACAATAAATAAGTTATACAAAATACAAAATAAGTTTGTATAAAAATATACACCTTACTTCTGCATCCCGACAGTTAAGATGGAGGGAATGCTAATGCGGGGATGCAGTGGTTTAGATCTCACTCTCATATGTGTGTAAGTACGTTTTTAAAGAGAGGATCTCCTCATAGGTCCTGCTAGTGCGACGATAAAAGTCCAGTCCTGTAAGTAACTCCACATCTCTTATACGTGCTGTGTGTGTCTTTATCAGTTCCTCGACCCACTTTGTCTCGTCCTCTGAACTCTGGATGAAGAGAAGTGTTAAACACTCAAAAAGCAGTTCTTGTCTGTTATTGTACAGCGAACCTGCACAATTTTAACTCACTCAAATTATTCAGCTTCTGCATCAAAGGATATGCTGGGTTAATTTCATCCTATTTTCTATGTGCCACATCTGTGACTTGCTGTTGTGTACCACTACAGACAATAAAAATGATTAAAGTTGACATGAATGTAACCTGGGGCAGGTGGGGTTGGTAAATGGTTTTATTAGCAGAATTTTATTAGCATATTTACAGTACTATCAACAGTGGCACTGTCAGACTGCCCGTATAAGCTTCCATTCACAAATATATTTACTGGAAACGTGTCTTAATCAATAGCATGGCAGAGGAGAGGAGAAAAGAGAAGAGAAGAGGACTCACATTACAGCTTTCATCATTATCTGATCGGTGTGGAAGGATGAAAGAGAACACACTGAGAGGACCAACACAGGAGTCAACAGTCTGTGTGTAATCCAGACAACTTGTAACCACAATGTAGTAATGACTTGGGATTTGCACAGAGCCACTGACATACCTGTAAACAAAGGAAGAGTTACATACTCAGAATGAAGGATTATATAAATTCAAGTACATCTTAGGACTTGTACCACTTGTTGTCAACTAGCCTTCAATCAGATAACTTCAGTTGCAGCATGGATCTGGCAATGGAGATAAGCATGCATTCATCACACACACCACAGACATTCTCCTTACTCACATACTGTTTGTTAAAGCAGCATTGCCAGAAACAGCAAAGACTGTTGATGCTGCATGTGGAGTCATTCACATAAGATAAACACTGACTCAAAAACCTGTCAACTGCTGGTGCACTTAAATGAGCTAATTTATAAGCGATAAGTCTAAAACCGTGAAGACAACTTACTGTTTTATTGTCTCTGCTGTATCCCTAAGACCATTGTAGTCATAGTCGAAGATGGGTCCAACAACCACATTCACTCCATTTCTCTCAGTAGCATAACGTCTCACAAGTGATTTCTGAAAATAACCCCACACACCTGAAACAACCAAACAAAGCTATAAGAGAGCGATATATAGACAGAAATATGAATTGTTAAAAGACAGATAGGAAGAGATATGGATCTTTAAAGGACAGAACAAAGAGATTAGAGATTAGCACAATGATTTGAATTTCAGAATTTCTAAGTACTGTGAAGTACAAGTTTGTTGCAAATCTGAAAATTAATATGAAACATGGAAGAGAAGAAAAATCAAAAGACAATCTGGCCTCTTGTACATGGGTGTTGTTTTTATTTCAAATTTTTTTTTTTTAACTCAACGAGGCATCAGATGTTTGTACTTACTTCCTTTGGGAGGTTTCAGACTAGTTTCTGCATAGGGAAACTAATGTATATCACCTCTCTAAGAATCAACATAATAATTATTAACTGAAAGTGTGATGTTGCAATCCTACTGTAATTCTTACAATAAAATAGGGGGGAACATTTTTAAATCTACTGGTTTTATTATTGTTGTTGTTATTATTATTAATATTATTTTCTCAACAATATGAATAAATCAACCTAAATAAGTTCATTTATACCAAATTTTTTTAATGAGTTTAATCAGGCAGAAATAGTTCTTTAAGGTAACAACCTTTGACGGGCAGACATGCACCTTTAACGTTGGTTTGCCAATCCGCCAAAAAACTCGAGAGAAGAAGAAGAAGAAGACATGTTCGGGTAACTTATTTCTGTCGTTGCCACGACATATTAACTCGATATTAATAGTCGAGTTAATATATCATATAATATTAATTGAGGTATTAATTTGTGGGAATGTCATATTAACTCGTGGGATCGTGATATGTCGTGGCCACGAGATAATTTTGTTGAGGTAAAGACATCCTTATGTCGTGGCCACGCGATGTGAAGTCATGGCCTCGTGATCCTATGTTGAGGGAACAACATCCATTTCTCGTGGCCACGACTTCTTATGTTGAGGGAACGGTATATTTTTCTCATGGCCATGAGTTTAATGCATAAACAAACCTGCGTGACCATAGCAACCTACAATTATCAGAGATGGATAAAACATATTTATCCATCCCACAGTCTTGTAAATTCGTTAACTGATCATGTCTTTTTATTTAATATTTGTATAATATTATTATTATTATTATTATATGTATTATTATTAAACTGTAATATAATAATATTATTATATTAACTGGTTTAGGGCTATATTTTAATATTTATTGTTGTATTTACCCTTTCAAGTGTATTGCTTTACCTAGTTAACGTTCTGTATAATTATTATTAATATGCTACCATATATTTTGCAAATACTGTAAACGCCTGACAGTTATGCCAATAAAGTTTTGACTTTATGATTGTGCCAGTGTGTAACGATAAATGAGCGTGTTGTGTTCATTCATTTACAAATTCATTCCTCAACTAAATTATAGTCTATTAATTAGCCGAAATAAAAAAAATATATGTTAAATTCAACCTTTAAACTGCACTTCCAGTAAAAATTCCAGTCATACAGCGTTTTTGTAAGAAAAATATCCATATTCAAAACGTAATAATCACTTTAATGTAGCTTGCGCTCACTGTTGTAAAGGGAAGCAGTTCCGGGCAGATGACCTCTGAGGTCAGCGCTGCGCATGCGCCAGCCAGTCTCGTGAAAACGTTTGTTAACAGGAGCAAAGGAAGCAAAGTTTCCTTACTTTAACAAAGGAAAACCAGTCTCCTCTTGGCTTATATCGAAATCCTCCGACATTCTTCATTACAAATCCTCGTTTTGTACTTCTAATTAGTGACCATAGTTTGTTTTGATCTCTCCTTTGCGTTTCCGCGTGCGTCAATTCTCAGCGGCACATGCGCAAAGCCGACCTCCATACGTCATCCGCCCAGAACTGCTTCCGTTTACAACAGTGAGCGCAAGCTACATTAAAGTGATTATTACGTTTTGAATATGGATATTTTTCTTACAAAAACACATCG